TTTTTTTTTTTTTTTTTTCTTTGAGAAAAGTTTATATTCCAACGAAATTGCACAGTCGATTGTGCTCATGTATGATTTTTATAATTTTTTTTTTTTTTCGTCCATCGAAGAGGAAAAAAAAGATCCGAGCTGTTTTGGTTCGCCCGCAAAATCGAGTGATAATCGAGATAACACACGTGTGGTGTGAGTACGATAAACACACACACACACACACATATATATATATATATATATATATATATATATATACAATTATCGATGCCTTGATTAGGATCTCGCGTGCTCGCACCACGTGATAATTATCATACATAAATATATACCTACGTCGTACCCACTATAAAAGCAATTGTGTACGTCAATATATATATATATACCATCGCGATATATATGCGTTTTGTGCATACCGTGGGGTCCCCCCTTTATGCGCATCAACCGCACACTCAAAACCGAGAGCATATAAGTATATGTATGGGTAAACACGGGTACACGCCTCGTTCACCTGTAGAATAGAAAATAGTATGTGCTGTGAGCAAATAGGCACCATCATGCATATATGTGACACGGGACTCACCGTCCTCACCGATCGCCCAAGTACATAATATATCATAATACAGAAAAGGGGAACCGTATTTTGGCAAGGCCCGGGAGGTTTTCCATAGCTGCATATTCATATATATATATATATGTACACAACGATCATTCAAAGATAGTCTCGCCTTAATTATATCCCGTGCGCGTTCTTTTTTTTGCTAAACCTTATACGTATAGGCTCACCATCTATCCCGCCCGAGTGTGTAGCTTTCCACAAATCTTACACACACACGCACATATGTATNGTAGATATATATACTAACGCGCGGGCGCCCGAGTACCCCAAGTGTAAGGTATCGCTCGTGTAAGGATACATACCTATAAGAGAGTGTGGCGCGCAAGCAGTGACGGGCGTGACGTAGTCCGAGAAGGATGTACGCGCCGGTCGGCAGCGGCCCCAGTAACTACTATCAACAACAACTGCTGCTGCAACAACAACAACAACAACAACATAATCATCATCAACAACACCATCACCGGCGTCGCGGTTCTTCTCACCAATACGCGTCCCTCATCAATTCATGGTGGTTACATACTCCAGGTAGGCCGATACACTTATACCCGTATACTTACTTTAATTACAAATAAGCACCTGCACGGTTGCAGAAAGGATTATTGTCTCTCTTTATCGTATCTCGTAGTTTTAACCGACGTTGCATATATTATAAACTGGTACAGGTGTCTACAAATGCGCGACGTGTGATTATAGGTTAGTGCAGTCGATACTTATACTTTATGCGTGCAGGGGTTGCGGTTAAACATGTTTTTATACGAGACACATGAGCTTTTAGCATTAAAGTTGTTAGTTTAGCGAATCTCGTCGTTAGAGGTTAGTTTTGTACATACAGTGTTTCGTACGCGGATTATATTTATATTCTTGAAAGCAACAGCCGCTATGTTGAGTTGTGCAATGTATTTATCTCGGCGACCGTATACATTTATGTTTTACCGGCGCGCGGGTGGTTTCAAGGTGACGTTTTAAGATGGCGTTCGCCAGACTTTGAAGGTCAAGGCGTACATACATGTATTCGCTGATAACGACAATTTCAAAGCTCCAAGGGTTGTATACTTACATTGAGTAAATTTATGCAACGAATCCATAGGCGGCATGAGATTTTAAGTTTTGCGGTTCGCGAATGAGGTAAGGTTGGGTTATTGTGTGGTTAGAAAAAAAATCACTTGTTGGTTACGTAGGTATACTTAGTTATTCAAGTACATAATATAAGTTTGAATGTAATATTCTTCGTGAGTATCGTTCGTCGGACGTGTTTCGAGCTGCCGGCTGTTTCCTTACGGACGAACGAATGAATTAAAAAAGTCCACAGTATAAGTACAACTTGGTTCGTGCACTTGTCGATCGAGAATTCCGACGATAACGTTCGTGTGCGGCTGTTCAGAAGCAAAAAGAGGAAATGGGAAAAATTCGCACTTTCCATCGATACAACTCGTAAGTAAGCATACTTATCATTTTACAAACAAATGTACACGACTACGCGTAACCGGAGAAAAAAAAAATCTCCCGGCAATCATGTACCTTACCTTACACACGTATAGGCGCGGGGGTACATTGAATTATCGAGGAAGGGGCGGTGAATTCCGAACGGATGCAAGACGCGATTAACGAATTTACCCGCATATATATTATATAGGCACGCCGCGAGGGTTGGAGCTATGCGGGGGAGGAAGGGAAGTCGTGGTTTCGCGGAAGCTTTCGTTCATTAATAAAGATAATTAGGAAGAGAGTGAGAGAGAGAGAGAGAGATCCGATGCTCCTCTGCAGCGTGTATTACATGGATAGTCGAAGAAAGGGGATAACTGTGTATATTACACGACTTTGGGAGGAAGGGCTTCGCAGACGTCTCTCTTTCTCCACATATAGGTATAACATGCACGTTAGTCTATGACTGTATATTATCGTGTGGGCGGGTGATCTTCGATTGCGGGGTAAATACAGTTATGTAAGCTCGCAGGTGCAGCCGGGCTCTCTCTCCACCCGTGGGGTTTTCATAATTCATCGGACGCTCGGGGACGATGGTAATCATTTTTTCTTTCTTCCCTTCCTGGACGCGTACAGAGTCTCCCTCGAAATAATAATTTGCAAATTTTTGTTATTCGCAGAAAGTTGTAAAAAAAAAAAAATGCTTGGCACGCGTGTAGGGAGTATAGCAGGAAAGTTCTACTCGTATAGATACAATTATATGTATTGTATACCTATAAGGTTGTGCTTCGTCTGCAATTTGTGGATTTCGCGAGATGTATATCAATAAGAGAGCCCACCATATCCCTCCTCGCTCGAACTAAGCAATGCAAGATTCACGAATACTCGATGTTTTATCTAACATCATTAGTATGCACATACATATACTTACGTACTCGCTCGGGAACGTGGACATATTATATGTATACGGAAAAATAAACTTGCCTTTAGTATTTGAGCACCAATGCTGAGTCCCCATGGTTTGAGCCTATTTAGCCCAAAAGATAGTCTATTATGTTGTGCATGATTGTTTTATCCCTGCAGAAATGAGTCATGGCCCAGCGCAGCTTAACGTGAAACGGAGCGTGCAAATAATAATAATAATAACGATGGTAATACATCCTGAGATTTAAATATTTTTTGACAGATGCAAAGTGGACGCATTGTTGTAATGCACTTATTACTACCCATGAGGTACCAAGAAAGTGCGTGTATATACATATGTAAGTATATCCTGCGCCGATCGAAACAAAAATAATGTGTCTATAGTAGATAATATTCCAGGATATTATTATTAGGGAGAACAAAAACAGTTGAGACTAATAATGCACTTACTTTGACGAGTATGATCAACGAAAACACACTATACGCGTTCTTTATAGAAAAAAAAGAGAGAGAGTGAGAGAATCGAGTTGTCTCTCGGGGGGGTGCATTTTAGGTATATATATATATTGGTAAATGCACGTAAATGAAAAAGCACCAAGTGTTCTGTACGCATTGTACGCACGAAATAAATATATTTTGCACGTATATACATATAAATTTAGTTATACCTACGATGGTTGATGGAGAAAACGTAGAGAAAAAAAAAATATAGCGTATCGACGCATATAGGGACGATCGATTGCCGAATATATATATATATACATATATATATACAGGTATGGTAGACAAAGACCGCGTCACCCTCACCCTACATGGCACATATATATATATATATATATATAGGTTCGGAATGCAACCGAAGCGTATTTCGAGGTGGAATTCTCAACCTTGACCAGGCTTCTGTTGCTTGGACACTCTCAGGAACACTCCCTGCAATATGTGAGCTCGGGTCCTGTCCGTCGAGAACCACCAGGGCCAAGTTCGCGGATACAGATGTCATCGGTTCGCGCAAAGGCTTTTAAACGACACAAGGGAGTACTGGACATACTTAAAATGAACACTTCCGAGTAACATTTCTTTGGTAAAGGAAATATATTAAGTGTAAAAAAATTAATACAATGATTACTTAAGGGTGTATACATGTGTGTATATATATAGGAGCGCGCGGTGGCTCGGTCGGCTAGGTCGTGGATTGGCACGCGGGAGACCGTGGTTCGATTCCTGGCCATAGTGCGACTTTTTCGGGCAAGTACCTCTGTGATTTTTCACATGTGCTTTTTCACCACGCAATGCTCCTCGAGGAGGGTTTAGGCGACCTTCTCGCAGCAAAATTTTCCTAATTTCCCCCTACCCCCCTCCCAGTAATGGGAGGCTTCCCATCCCTTTCCTTGTCCCTTTCCCAAGTGCTAAGTGCCCATAGTAGTGCCCTTATTAAAGGAGCCGGACGTAGAGCACTATAATATAAAAAAA